CTCGAAGCTGAGAAATGAAACAAGAAGCATTGATACATATTAGAGATTTTAGTGAGATTTCGGAAAGACTCTCACATCGAGCGGATGACATGAAGCACAAGAACTACTATTCTTAAGTTTACATTGCTGTAGGCAATCTACTTACCGGATCGAAATGTTGAATGATGTCGCTAAAAGACGATAATGACCGCCGTTATCGTCATTGTCGACGTCGTCGCTATACCAGTGATCCAATGAATTCGCGACTTCTGCACGATGCCAGACTATTCCTGTCTGCTAAACTACTGCACATAATCTCTTTTATTCAATAATAAGTGCGTCTATCGCAATGCTTAGAGGCGCACAGCAACGCACACGTAGTCCTTGGTTCGCTCCGGCGCCTGAGGATCATCAGTCTCCCATTTCTCGCGCGTCAGCACATTGATGCCAGTCTTCACAGGGGAAATACCATCATTGATTTGACACATCGGTAAGCCACCGCAAGCCATTTTATAGGCTGGATATCCGCTCGGTTACCTCTGACGTTCTTGATGAAGTCAAATGCATGGTTTGATCACCTCAGGATTTGATTTACGTCGAACGCCTTATCTTTATTACTCGATAGAATTTCTGTGTAGTAATTATAAACGAAAAAACCTTCCGAACACGATGATTACACCGACATAAGGAATGTAAAGTCAATTGATGGGGCTTTTATCAGACAACCAAGCCACTAAGTAGTAGTCGACCTAACACCGATAAAATTCAAGAATTTCTAATCAACATTTCAAACACCAAGTTGTAAGCTGTCTTGGTTTAAGCGTAAGTTGATAACTAGTGAAAATAGTTGCTAGCATTATCAGGAACAGATCTCGACCTGGGAAGCACTCTCAGGCGATAAGCAATTTTATTCGTTTTTCGCTGTAACCTTTCCATAGTTTTCATACTTGATTTTGCATAAGGTTCTGGAAAATTCTCGGAAGTTTCACTTCTTGACATCTCTGTGTCGTTTCTTAATAATAGTTTCTTATATATTTATCTAGCTCATCAATTTTACCTCCAAAATGCTCATTGAAATGTATGATTTGAGTGTGTTTTTGTTGATCAGCCATTATTGCAGAGAAGGTTTAACGACTCTTAAAGCCGTCGATGAGATTAATAAGGGTGAAAGTGCTGGTACGGCGACAAAATCGACTTTGGGCAGATGGTTTAAGGGATTCAAGGAAGGCAATTTCAATTTCGAAGACATGCTTCGTTCTGGTCGGCCATCTGTTTTATATGAACGGCGTCGAAGTTCTTCCGCACCCAGCCTACAGTCCAGACATTGCCCAATCAAATTATCACCTCTTTCGATCGATGCAGCACTTCGAATAACCGTCGATTAGAATTATCAATGAACCTGAAAAAGCATGTCAAGAATTTTCCAATTTAAAGCAGACGGAATGGTACTTCGAGCAGATCCGGAATCTTGCAGAGCGATGGCAGAAAGTAATGGACATTGATGGCCTACACTTCAAAGAATAGTTATTGTTGTTGATTTGCGCACGACAGTGAAACTTGAAATTAAAAACGAAACTAAGAACGAAAGGTCTCTGCTTGAAAATTGGTGCTGTTTTTGCTGTTGGTTTTTCGCTCAGGTAAAATTTCTGAAAATATCCCAAAACTATTTGCTCATACTTAGGTAGATTTTCATTGAGCTATCTAAGTTTCATTGATATCGCTAAGATATGTAATTTATTGGGTCGCTCCATAAGTTTTGGCACTTTAGGAGGTAACTAAAAATACATAAGTTTGGTCTCGTTCAACTGCGCAGTTTCTTTCAAACATTTTGGTATACAACTAGCTTACTTGCCCTAGGATGGAGCTGTTGTGAAAATAAATCCACTTGCTATTCATGCATGAATGGAGCGTAGAGGAGAATGCTAGTGAAACGGTGCGCAAGATTATGGAGCTTCTCTTGGACGGCCCAAGAGCGACTGATCCTCCAGATTGTTCGCGTCAGCTCTGAACTTCGCGAATCTATTTCTAACTTTTTGCAAGCGTATCATCGCCCTAAGTTGCATTGATCTTGCACGCCGCTTCACTAGCATTTTGTCCTACGGACCATTCGTGCATGAGTAGCGCGTGAATTTGTTCCGCTGACACCGCATCTTAAAGCGAGCATTGGCAAAATGTATACCAAACTGTCAGCAAATTTACTTCTGCTTAATAAATTTAGAGTTTATTTCTCTAGTGCCAAAACTTATGGAACGACTTAATAAATACTACGTCACCGATTTCAGCAATTTTCAAAGAAAAAAATTGACAAAAGTCTGGTACAAGGATCTTTTAACACTGCAGTAACGAAACGGAATACGTTAAGCCTGTACTTACCGCTGTTATCATTCTCCGTCCTTTTATTATGACAATCAGTGAAAAGAGGAAAACTATTTCTCGACAAAGAAGGAGGAAGACAAAGAAAAGTTATAAATATTTGTTGCGGGTCATATATCAAGTTGCCTCCAGTTAGGTCCATTACTCATCTGATGATATTGTGCAGTCTGGCCTCCACTGACCGATCATCTGACCAAGAACTTTGCCAGGTAGTGTTCAAGAGAAATTTGTAGTGACACTGACAACTGACCATCGTACACACAGCTGTTGTTATTGGTATTGCTGTTCTCGTAGCTCTTAGAGCCGACGAAAGAAGTCACAGAAGTCTAACATGATCCTTTCATCTATCAGGATATCGAGAACGTACTTCCAAACAAAAAACGTCTCACAGAAGCTTAGCATGGAAACAGGCAATATTACAGAGAAATATAATGGTGAAAAATCGAAGGCCTTCGACCGCGTCGCAGTTACGGAAACCTTCACGTCGAAAAGCTCTGATACGCCTGGCATTTTAACAAGAATTCTTTGGAATGGTTCGAAGATTCCAATAGCATGTAATTTTATTTTCGATCAATTTGGCATTGTCCACATCAAATATGAGCAAAACCAATAGTCGAACTTCGCCAGTAGACCCGAACCCATCAGTCGATCTGATTTTTAGTCGGAGTTGCGCTCTGGACTGAGTTCAAAAATTGAGCTTCATTACAAGGTTGAAAAAATAATAGCTCAATCCTAAGTCGCATGTCATACTGACTAATGTGAACTCTACAAAAGGCGAGTTACTAGAACGACAGCTAAAGCAAAACAAAGATTGATTTTCAAATCTATAGCAGTTGTCAAATTATAAAATCTATCGTAATTTTTCTAGCTTTCTGGAAGAAGACACAATGAAGAAACATTCTCAAAACAATCCTAATGCGCTGAAAATTTCTTCCATGTAATTATTTATTATATGACCAGACATCGCACATTTTTTGCTTTCCAGCACTTTATTCATTCGATAGGTTTTCCCACATGCGCCGTCATTTGCAAGGACCTTCGAAATATGTGTGTGCCGACTACTGCTTGCGGACGTAGATTGGGGTTGTGACTCATTGAATGCTAATCGAACTGATTCTATCTGAAATTTCTAGATGATTATGATACCGTTTACCCAATGCTCGAACCAAGCCACCATTATGAACGACAATTGCGAGAAGAAGAAACGAATGGAAAATGTGCTGGACTCCGCACAATTTGTGATGACGGACCGCCCAAGTATTCACGTAAGTAATCGTGTACTCAGGTCTCTACAATAGGCAATTGCTGCTTTTTCTATATCGCACAGAATTAATCCCCGACAATTCTTTTTTGATTTCCCAACTTTATGGTGATAAGAAGCTTTGTTGACAAGGTAAAGGTTCTCATCAGTGTTCTTACAAGCGTCTCTGAAATGCAACGACAGTTCTATGCTTCTCGTGTCGTGCGCTGGTCATAGCTTTTTGATCACTAATCAAATCTTCACAGAATACATATAACGGAAAGGATAGGTTAGTTAAGCCAAAGTTCTAACGAGATCGGCTATATTTAGGAGAAAAGGAAGGTGACAAACGCATCTATTTTTTCTCAAAAATGCTGGTTTTCTACTGATACAGAACATAAACTCAACATAAACTTGACTTTAGTTTATTTTATACTTCTCTTCATGTAGCCGAAGTATTAGATAATGTCTAAAGATCCCATTTGCCAGTATGTTCTCAACTTACGAAACCTTCAAAACCAAAGACTGTGAGAAACATCCAGCTCTACTAATTGGTCTCCTCAGCTCGCCCGATGAAAGCACCCAGTACTCAGTGTACGAGCTTTCCAAAAGTTTTCTTATTTTAATTTGAAAAGAACCCACTACTTACTAGAAATTCACAACGTTGGAAATATTTAGAGATTGGAAGATCGCATCTACAGGTAAACAGAAGAAGCATTCAATTGCTGATTTCTTACTACAGTATTCAAAATGATGAGCAGTTAAGTTCGTTTTGGAAATCTAACGAAAATTCAGAACGGGAGGGGATGGTAAGTTAAATGAGTGGCGGCGGCGGAAGAGACTGCCAACGATCGCCGACTGCGGCCGAACAGCAGCTGAATGAATAATGGTTTTCGGTTCAAGAACGGCGAAGTCAGCACAACAGAGGTCTTTTGAGTCAAAGGTGAAAACCCACGATGAAGTCGTATACACTAACAAAAATCTCTGGTTGGATGTGAGCGTTTCAGCACCACGCAACGTTGTTACACAGGAATTCGCCAAACTTATCAATTAATTGATGTGACGATGATTAGTGATCAAGTGACGTCATGGAAACATTCCAGCGAAAACCTAGACTTTTTCAATTTAACCGCTTTTAGACGGTGGTATGATGTTGCGAATATATATATTGAATAATATTGTGTGATATGCAAAAGTTTGAATGTCGGACAGAGTTTGAACCCGCATTTCACGCTTTCCAGGGGCGCATGTTAACCATGTATTACCAACGCTCGTTCTGCCATCATTTTTTCTGTGACACAATTGTATCGATCTGCCAGCAACCAACCATCAACGGTTTGGCCTGGCAAGCCAATATCGCCACTGGATTCAGTAAGCTGTAAATATTGCATATATTTATAATAAACGAGCGCCGGCAGTACAATGGTTAGCAGGCGCCTCCAAAAAGGGTGAAATGCGGGTTCAAATCCCGTCCGACGTTCGAAGGCTTGAATATCATTCGACATTATTGGATGTTTTAGTAAATATTTTCAATAAAAGGGAAAAAAGTAGCCTAAAATCATACTTCGTACTAGAACTCCAATAAGTTGAATCTCACTACTTCAAAAATGGTGTGAAAACTATCCTACTTGAATATTGAAATGACGATGACATTATGGGACAAATTTCCATTTCGTCGGTTCTTACAATAGTGGGAGGTGAATGGACATTTTAGTTGCATTGGCTAGTATTATAAAATGATCTGTGCAAATCTGGAGATATGAATAGAACTATTCTCTTTTTTCTTGCTTTTTTATCCTCTATTCCTGTAGTCCCCGCTTTCTCCCTCACGGGATATAGAATTGCTGACATAAAAGATAGCAGTGTCGAACTCGAAGAGCTCCGTTATGTTACGAATTCATTCCAGCCTTCTACTTGGAACGAGGAGTGGAATTTGTTAGCCTGAAGAATTTTGCTTAGAACATGAATTCTTCTCATTGCACATCGATACTTTTTGACACACTGGTATACACTCGCAATCATGAGGAGATATCAATTGCTAGAATAATCGAATAATTACTCATCCAACTAATACAAAATAGCCATTTACATGCAGGTCGGAATTGAAGCTGGAAAACAGTCTTACTCATCGTCGAAATATTCTTCATCGTTCATTTAACAAGCAAATATCAGCACTTTAATTGCGTTGTCTCGTCGCCGTTCACGCAGACCATCACCACGAAAGTGGTCCTTACAATTTTTGCATCCGAGATAAATTCTGAATAAGGAAAGGAGGCCGGAAAACCGACTTACCGATTCACGAGGTGAAGGGGGCTTGGTTGGTTCAAAGAGGTGTCGACCACTGATCCACGTGTGTATTTAACGGCATCTCTAACCCTTTAAGATCAGCGTTAATAGGCAGACGGCGTCATGCCGTCACTTGCGCGGCATTCAGACAGGTGACATCTGCATGTCTGTGCATGTGTGTCTGATCGCCTGCCTGCTTTCCCACAAAACGCGACGCCGCCATTACAGTAGCTGAATGAGATTTGACGTCTCACTGTGAGCATCAAAAAGACCCTCATGATTCCCAGAGGTTTATTGTGTACTTCCCACATAGTCAACATATAAAGAAAATGTGGAAATTTTTGAAAAGACCTACATATCACATTTGAAGGTGGTGACTTACAGTATAGCTTTTTCTTTGATTTATATTCAGATATTCTAAAACAATTTCGGTGGTACGGTTTCTACTCCACACTGAATACCATGTTCAATGTGATCAATGGTCATGTCCAGGACAAATGCACAAAAGGTAAAATAAATATTTGTTTAGAATTTTGAAGAATCTTTTTTCATCTTGTCTGTTTCATAGCTTTTGAGTGCCACATCTTTGTGATTACAAAAATTAATACCACCTTCAACAACTAAGAAACTGAAGTGGAGTTGTGCTACAAGAAAAAGTAGTTTTGTATATTTGGATATAAAAATTTTCATACAAATATTTCCATTACAGACGTAATTTATTAAGGTTGTAGTACCACGCAAAGTCACAGAGTTACCAATAATACTCACCGGTGCATCCTTCGTAGTGCCCCTAAAGCAAAAACAACGACGAATGAAAACTTAATACCAGTATGATTAAGTCACTGATTAGCAATCTTACAAGGACACGGAAATGTTGTTAGAGTCCTCATTAGGGAGAGATTCAATTCAAATACTAGAAAGGCTGATGATAACTGAGTTCAACTCAAACGAATTGGATCAGTCATAAGAAAGATGGATGAGGAAACCGTAAAATACAACTCATGACCGCCTCCCTATTGACCTCGACATATCTTAATAATTAAGTAAATGGTCCAATTGTCAGCTGACCGAATAAATTGTAATGTGATAACCTCGCGTTTAGCATAAAAAGAAAAATTTGTGAATTATGATGAACTTCCAAAAATTCCAGATTTTGTTTGACTTTTCCGAAAACGAATTGTTCCCTGTGTCGGTGGGTGAGCGACAAAACGATGACGCATTCATGGCAAAAAGTTCCCAAAACACTTGATGAATAACCACGATGTCGTTTCCTCTCCAGAATACCGCTTTGCACTGAAAGAAAACCCACCGTAGCCGACGAATGACGACGCCCAAGGTTTAGAACCCAGACGTCTATTGCATGCTGGAGGTTCATCTTCTAGATACGATCTATCTCTACCGATCTCAAAACACAATAGGTTGAGAAAGTCACACAAGTGCAGCTACGAGCTGAACGGTGAATATTGTGACGATAATTTGATGACAACAAAGTAGTTTTAGCTTCATATAATAGCAGTCTGCTAGAATATTCGATGACTTCATGACATTCAAGAATAATCCAGGTATTCTTTGGAAGCAATTATTTCCCTGATATAATTTCACATTTTTACAAAGGTTTTTTGTCAATACAATTTAGTGACGGAAGAGGAACAGAATCATAGAACATAGAAATTTATATAATATGGAATAAATTTTTTTTGCATGCCCAAACGTCACGTATTGTGTGAAACCCAGGGTTCTTGAGTTCAATTCGTCCTTTCATGTGTCATCCAAGAAGGTTCAAATTGTGGACTATTCGCTTGCTGCTTGGATTTTTGACTTTCTTAATAGATGCGATTCAAATTTATGCGTGCCTATTTTCGCTGAACATAGCGTGAGCTGCGCTTCTTAAGTCTTCACCGAGTCGCATGTGGAAAATTGCCCCAGATGAAAAATCTCTTGATTACTTAACGTGAGCTGACAGCAGTGAACTCCTTCCATTCACGAACTCACCAGCGCTACCCAATGGGAGCTTGGTTTCTCAAGAACGTAGGCACGGATGGTTCGATGGAACGTTCCACGACAAAAGTCTAGTCTGTTCTAATGTGGATCATCGAACGAAGATGATGAACTTGTTCCCAGCTTAGATGGAGAACGGAAATTTGCTGTAAACCACCGCACTTCGACATCGAATAACATCCACTATAACTATAATAAGGTTGCAAAGCGCTTATATGAGAAATAACAATTTCCGAGGATTTACAAATCCAGAAAAGCTTTGCTAGTGCGAGGCCTCGGTTTTGCTAGCGGGTGTTCAGGAGATGAGACGATGTTCGTTTAAAAAATCCCAATATCTGAGCTCGTGTTCAGCTGGTTCAATGTTCGCTTGATGTCGAGCATGAATCTAATAACTAATCGAAGATCTTGCTGTTAGTGTTTTCATTAACAAATAATATACAAAACGAAAATTCAAGCTTATGCCAACTAGCTAGACGATCCATCGTCTAAAAAAAATTTATTATTGCTGTCGTTTGAAGGGTAGTGCAGTGGTTAGATGTGCTCTGCGACACACGTGGTCGATCTATCGATGGTTGAAGGCTTGATTCCGCGCTCAGGTCTTATCAAACCTACCATCTCTGTGGAGTCGGTGAATTGGCAACAGACTTGTCTGGGATGATAGCAGCACTGACCTGATTAATCAGTTTGCTACCGCGAGCCTTTTTGAAGGTCAGATATGTATTCCTATCACCGCAAACAATACTTAATGAAGCCGAATGCACGGTCAATAATGATCAACGACAAGAGCTTAGTCCCTTGTCCTTTGCCATGAGCAGCGCGTTCAGGTTTTCAGCCTTTCTTGAATGACATTTGAACTGGTGATTTTGTTTTCACAAGGATTCGTAAGAGTGTGACCACTAGTAAGACGTTGAGGGCAAGTTCTTTTCGCCATCAACAACACGGGAAACAAAGACACTAGCCATTTCCTGGATGTTCTTCTTCTTTACAATGAAGTTAACAATAGGGGCTGACAGTATTCATAAGGAATGGAATGCCTTTGATTTTTGATGAAAAAAAAAACAATAGGGTCAGCGCAGACGTAACGATGCCACCAATGATCTTCGAGATGCCGTAAGGCACTGTATCACCCCTTTCAGCGAACTACTACCATCATACATGAAGAAAAAAGCAAATAACTCAGCTAAGAGATGATAAAGGTGAACTGACAAAGGAGAGGGGTAAAGACAATCTTAAACTTTCCAAGACTTATGGTAGACTGCAATGGGCTATTGTTCGTGCTTATGGCTTCTGACAGAATGAGTTCTAAAAACACGAATAACAGAAAGAAAAAGTAAAGAAAAAATTCGGAGATGAAAAGGTGAAGAGGATGCATAAGATCAGAAAAAAAAAACTTTGAAGACTTCTTACTAAGTTCAAACTTTCGAACAAAAAGATATTTCAGAGAAAGAAAAAAGAGAGCAGAAAAAAATGATCAGTGCAAAGCAAACTACACAATACGAGAGAAACACAGAATTAATGAGAAATTACAAACTATAGGATTACTTAAAAATGGAGCTCAGAAGATGATTATTGATTCAAGAAGCACTCTACAAAAGGACTCACAGGGTGAAGGCAAAAGTATTCGTCACAGTATAAAGGATAAAAGGATAAAGCTCTCGGCGTTGATCAATCCCTGAGGGATGCGCCATGCATTCGACTTCAATTTCTAACTTCGTTTTGAGGTGATTGAATGCATATCTGGCCTTTACAATGACTCGCGGAGGCCTCCCGCTGAACCGAGTCAGTGCTGCTTATCCACCCAGACAAGTCTGAGACCTGTCTGGTACCAATTTACCAACCCCGGAGGGATGGCCGACTTGGTGAGCCATGAGCGCGAGATCGATCCATTGACCTCGTGTGCGACGCAGGGCACCTCTAACCCACTGCGCCACATGCGCTCCGTCACAGTATGTACTAGCAAAAATCATAACGACCAAAACGAGCACTATTTTTGATTGATCTGAAAAATAGAACGAATGAGCTGAGCAGTCAATCATTTTCGCAGCGGTGCCCGTTATGAACTGATTGAAAATGGGGAGTTCGCTTGACCGCAAAGCGGACCGAACTGGCGACCTATTAAGAGTGATGCGTGGTGTCGCAATGGCACTACACCGTATGCATTCGCAAAAGTTTGCGCTACACAAAACATAAAGAAGC